ATTTAAATTGAAAATAATTATTAAAATTATTTTTCATAAACTTATTTTAATAAATATTGAAAATTGGGTGGTTCTTCATAAGTGAAAATATACCTATCAGTATGTCAAGAGAAAAGTAATTTATACTGCCTGGTTTCGTTAAATAACTTTTGAGAAAACATGAAAATTCCAATTTCCTTTTTTTTTTTTTGTCAGGGTTAATGTGTTGATGGGATTTTCTTTAACATATTTAATTTCCATCGTCGAATATAGAATAACGAATTGAAAACTTTTTCCAACCAAACCATTGACTTTATCGTTTCGGTGCAATCGCAAGGGTTTCAAAATTGCGTTTCGTTCAAATTGAGCTCGAGTAACAACGTTTAAACATGGGATTTCTTTCATTTACCTCTCCATTTATGAACGACCAAACAGGAATACGAGTACATCAATGTAGTTTACACCGTAGTGGGTCACAGCAGTGTGGTTTTGGTTCAGGTATATAACGTGTAAATGGACCATTCATGTACCGGCATTGTACAATGGGTCGGTAAATTTACAAGAAAATCGGAATTTCTACCGACATTCCGACGCTTAATCGGCCTATCTAGGGCTTATGCGTAACGGATTTGAAAACCAGCAATTGGCATGGGTGGATAGTCATAGGGTTTATTGCGGTCAGTACATTAGGACACTTGAGTTCATTCGCAGAGAGGAATAGTATAACTTTATTACAATTTTCAAAACTTTCAATAAATCGACATGCATAAAAAATTTAAAAGAAAGAGTAAATATTAATAGTTAACAAACATTTTACATTTTAAGTGATTTAGAAATTTTAATTATAAAATGTATACCTAGTCAAAAACTTTATTGTTAATAGAGTAGTATTAAAATTGTATATATTTATATTTAAATCTTAATCAATTTATAAAAATTTCTAAATAATAAAAATTTTTATATTAGATGTTTTCAAATATTTAAGTGTTTATAAATTATGTTTTAAAAAAAGTATTTTGTAAACATTAAAAAATTTAAATCTAATTTAAACTTGTAAGTTGTAAATATAATAATTCCACTCTAAACAAAATTTCTAAGCTTTATTTGAATTATCTTGAAAATGACTTAAACTTAACATAAAACCTTTAATGGAAAATAAAGCATTTAATAAAATATGAAGTACCGATAAATATTTTTGAAATTAAAGTTCAATTGCCTTTTTCTTTTTTTCTTTTTTATCATTGATATAATGCTATATCGGTTGATGAAATGATTATACGAAAATTATAATAACGGTTGGCAGCTTATTTGTCAATATTTATAGTACATAGAACGATTATTCGTAACCCCATTATTTTGTACAAGTTGGTTCACAAAATTCATGACGCTAAATCGATGCGATGAGTGCTCCTTTTATGCGACACAGGTACATATAAAATAGGAATATATAACATGATATTGAAATTTCCTTTGAGTTTTATGGGTCGTTAATTTATTATTCATAGTCGTAAATTGCTGATGAACAAGTTTAATAAAAATAAATCGCAACGCTTTAGCTTTCAATAAGTTCTTGAATAGTCATATACATTTTCTAATTTTTTATTTATGTACTTAAGTTAATTATAAATAATTATTACGTATATATTATATAATGCTAATTGTATTAATAATATTTCCAATATAGTAGGTATGTTCTGCATAAATACTAAAGAAAATCTATTATTAGCTATTTATTTGTTTTGTAGAATATGTTTTCAAATCGAAATTTTTAAGATATATTTACATTTTAAATAAAAAAAAAAAAAATGGTAAATCATATAACAAGATTAACTCGTTGTCTAAATTATGTGTGATACCTGACTAGGAAAGGAAAATATCCCAGAAAATATTAAGCATTAATGAGATGAAATTCGGTAAGTGTTTACCGTGTACTAATGGATATTAAGTACATTTTTTAACGATGCAGCTCTGATAAGCACTAAATACATTTTATAATTCAAAGACTTTGAACCAAAACTTATCAATCATAATTTTAATAATTTGATTGTCCCCTTTTGCAATGGTAAAATTCAATGTTTTAAATTTGAATTATAACTAGAAATATAACTAGCTAATTAATATTGCAAGGAAATGGAAGGATTTATGATTGGATACATTCATAGTAAAAAAGCTTATTTGACTGTATACGAACTACCGACACTATTTAGGTTAAGTACACTATCTATCAAAATATTTCATACTATGAACGTGACCTTCCAACATTTTTACAAGTTTACATATATTATTAAATATAAGATGTATCTCATATGTTTGAGATATTTTTATTTTTTTGAACATTTTAAGAGCAATATATTTTTTAAGATACCATCTGAATCACGTGTTTTACTTTTTCGTTCACACTGTTTTGTTAACTTATTGCATTCTACATTATTATTTTTTTTTTACGACAAAATTTTTATTTGTCAGAGGACAAAAATAATTTTTCAGAACTTTTCACATACTTTTATACCAGCAATTAATAAATGTAATTTTTTAATAAATAATAATATGCGTTTTACACAATATTAAAATGTTTTTACCTTGTTAATTGATAGCCTACTCTATTTATTATTTATTATTATTAATTTAAAGACTTGAGTACTTTACTTTTTGTTATAGATTTCATTATTTCAAAACTATTTATTTTTTTTTTATAATTATTGATAAACTATTTTAGACAAAAATGTATTTTTAAGCACTCTAAGTTATAATTCTATTTGAATTATTTTAAATTTAGATAAACATTTATTTATAGATGATTTCAATTATTGTTTACAGTATTTTAAGTATTCCTGCTTAACAGTTAACATAAGTAACAGGTATTATAATACAATTTGATTTTTTCGTGAACTTACACACTTTTATCTAAATAATTATTTTGATCACAGTTATTAACTAATTTTTATATTATGCCATTCTCTACAAAATTTTTCACATTAAATTAAGACATCGGAATATTTTATTTTTTTCTTACATGATAATATTATGTTGATACACTAATTATGATTTTTAATTATGAAGTAAATTTTTTATTAAAAATGACAACGGAATAATACTAAACTTTATTTTTTAAATATTTTCTGTTTGTTAGTTTTTTGTAAAGCAAATTTCTATTCTACAACGTAGAATTTTGAATACAAATCTAGCGATAAGCTGATTTTCGTTGACCTACGACTTTCGTTAAAATTTAAAATGTAAAATTAATTATTTTATTAATATTTAACATTAAGACACCATGGATTATATTATTACTAAAGTGCACTGTTAAAATATAATGTTATAAGATATTTCTGTTTACTTTATTTTGATGTAAAATTTAGTTTATATTTACAAAACCAAAGTCTAAAAATTAATTTCATGTTTACATATTAAAGAGTAAAATATAATATTAATGATTTTCATAAATATCACTTAGATCAGTAAATATTTTAAAAGACATATATGGGTCGTACATATATATGAATCAAAAACATTTAATATAAAAAAAAATATTATTAAGTGTATTTAATTATTATCATTAAAATAGATTCATCAATAATCCAACGATATTTAACATTTAATATCTTTAAAAAAGTAATGAGAACAAAGTAAAGAAAATAAATTATATTTAAAAGAAAATATAAATGCCTCAAGCGGCTAAACAGGGAAAATAAATGGAAAAAATACCGTTTAAAATTTAAGACGTCATCACAAAGATTAGCCAACAAACGTATTGTGTAAATAGCCGCTGGACATTTATACAATAACATTTTTTTATTAAAAAAAAATAACTTTTTGCATTCTTTAGCTATTTTGTAAGCATTAAACACAATGAAACTGTTAATTTAATTTCAAATATGAACTATAATAATTTACAGTATTTTAATCGATAAATCGATCGTGAATGAATCTAAGAAAATAAAGATATTTATATAATATGAGCATTTAAATATATATTATAATAGTATTTTTTATCATATATTATTATAATAGTTTCTCAAATAGTATTATATTTTGTCGAAATACATTTCTTTAGCTTTCAGATAATCACGTTTCACGCATTGGAAAAATCGGAAACTCGGGTTTTGTTTATATGCATCCGTAATCTATTCAGTAATACCCACGATACCTTCTTGTATTTAATCAAACGGAGTGGGCGTATAATTATATATAAAAAAACGATTAAGAATATGATTGAATTTCAGACGTCAAAATATACATTCAAATTAAAAATATTATAAATACTTTTCGTTACCAGTTAGGTAATATCAATAAAATATTTACAACTCGGAATATATCATACATTAATTAAATAATAGTTAACAGTATTTCTATAGATATATGCAGATTTTGCATTACGATTACATTAGAATATAAACATAATACATAATATTTACGGATTGCATAGGTTTATCTTTAAGGAAAAAAACCTTTCTACGTATAAATTAGTCCATTTTTTCAAGTGCATTTTAAATTTTGAAAGAAAACCACTGAGTTCAATTCGATTCTATATATTGATTATTAACTTTTAAATAACCGGTATAGGCAGTATTAAAAAATTCGCCAGGATGCAAAAAACTGATTAAAAATATAAGATATACAGTATACACTTATAATATAATATATCTGTGCAAAGAATTTTCTCGTGTTGAAAGTATGTTACCATAATCAATTAAGACAGTTTCATGTTTTCAAGTGTACATATTACAATAAAAATTATTAGATGTAAGGGGTGGAGAGTCTTGATTGTATTTATTTATTTTACAAAAATACTTAAAATAAATTCTTTATTATTTATTGTCAATTAAATATTAGCACTAACATCGAGATCCAACTTAAACGTTATTTGATAATATTATCAAATTATACAGTGCTTTGCCTATACAGTAGTAGATACTCTCATTTACACAAAACATTTAGTGAAAAAGCTGACAAAACGATCATGCGATTATCATAGTATACGAATATCGGTGGATAGACGATCATAGACGATGGCAACTAACCTATCATTGAGCCGGGGCGGGGGCGGCATAAAAGAGACGGTGGACATTTGCTGGAGTTCCATGACCGTGGCTCTGTCACCGCCGCCGTTGACGCCAAAGGCCGAAGACGAAGCGGACTGCTTTTTCGTCGCCCCGTACAGCTGCCGGTAATATTTTTCCTGATCTCCATACATCCAACACACTTTCCACCACTGGCGGCACATCAACACGTTCGACGACGGCGTCTTGTTGGCGGTGGCGGTTACGGACGACGTCGACGAGACCGTCGCGGCGGCGGTGGCGGTAGTCATCGTCACTTCGCGGTAAACCGAAACGCCCATCGCGCGCGAAAAACGGAATAACCCGGCCGAGAATTCACAAGTTCGCGGCAAACGGACAACACAATTCTTTTGACAATAATCGCAAAATCGTGCGCACAAGAACGAGCGCGCGCACTAAACGCATCAGAAACGGCGAAGACGAATCGATGGCGAGACAACCCGTTGCTGCGTTCTGCAGGCTACCGGTCGGATTCGGACACTGGTCCGCCTCGCCACCACCGAGAACGGTCGCCGTCGCTGCCGACGACGACGATTGCCTCGCAATCACCTCCGCGCCGCCCGCCTCTTCCGCGGCCGGTCTCGAGCCGCACACGGTTCGCCGTCGGAGTGGTGTTGGTAGAGGGGTGGGAGAAACACCGGCGGCGAGTCGGCCTGCGATCGTCGTATCCTTTTTCCTTACGAGACTACCTATGTTGCGTTATTATATAGGTTGTATGGTTCGACTGCAGTAAAATTAGACGGTCCGTTTTATATAATATGCGCGTGTAGGTACCAGAGCGCGTGTGCGTGTGGGTCGCGCGTGTTAAAATAATATTATAACGTTATATTATTATATTGTGTAGTAGTGTGGTGCGGGAGACTCCTCGGGGCTAAATGAGAGAATATTCAGGTATTTTTTCTCCTTTTTTTTTTTTTTTTTTTTTTTTTTTTTTTTTTTCGTTTTCATCCTTTTTACCAGCGACGACGGATTTCGTACAGCAACAACAACAACAACAACAACATGCGGTCTAACTTGCAGTGTGTAATACACAAAACCACGCGAACGCACTGCATCGAACAGGTATACCCGCGAGTATATTAAATCTATAGATATTTGTTTAAGTTTTAAACAGGCCAAACCCAATTACATAAATTAGATAATAGAAATTATCAACGTTCATAGACAGTAATACGATTACAGTAAACAATATGAATCAAAAATTAAACAAAAAAAAAAAAACTACTTACAGCATTACCAAGATGTATATGATATTACAATAAATTTTAAATAAGTCAACGTTTGATGAAAAAATCGATTTTTAATTGATTAATTAATTTCATCAATATACAAATGTTATAAAATGAATAATTGTTTGTATAATTAGTTTCTTCATTGATTAGATAAAATGTATTATTAGATCAAAAACTAAGAGTATGGAAGGAAAACCGATTTTTAAAATTCAGGACATAATAATGACAACGAAAAGTGTAAACAGAAAGTGTGAATTTAATCGCAAATGATGTTTCAAGATTTCGAGGTTTAGAATAGATAAAAATATAAAGTATACAAAGAATGTGGTTCCTTGAATAAGAAACATTTAATGAGAGGAGGAATTGTAAGTATTATTGTTAATTTTTTTCTAACTTATACATTTAATACTTGATAGGTTAGGAGACCATCTTCACAATAATAGAATATACCTACCAAATTGGTTTATAATATGATATAGCTATTGGGGTTGGAAAAAATACATACACACTGTAATAATATTATAGAGCCACAGCCCACAGAGTACCTTCCATGTTCAACATGTACTCCTATATACCTTTTATATAAGATCGTGTGTCGGGCTCCGAGGGATGGTGGGACGTGAATCGGGATGGCATGTGCGGGGGGTATTTTTTTTTTTAGAACGTTGGCGCAGGGTTTCTCAAAATATACGCTATATGTATGATATTATACAGTTTAATATTGTACCTATTGTTAGACAGTGTTCGATGACACCGTGTAATAAGTAATAACAACGCAGCCGTGCCCGGCACGTTCCACGTTGAATTTCTCGGGCGAGACGTTCCGGTAATAATTCGACGTGATAACACAAAATCGACCATCCGCCGTTCATAATTCGGCCAAATTAACTGACTCGGCATAATTGGAATGCCGTCTTAACAAGTCGTAATGTCATTTCAATTACAGAGACGACGTGAGATTCCGGTGACGACGAAGACGGCTTGTGCATCACGGCTATTTTACAAAGGAGATTTTCGTCAGAGACGTGACAAATATCTCATTACGAAAATATGTTCTACCTAAAATGCGTCTGCTGCATTATAATATTCAGTGTGATGTAATTAACGTTTGGTATAACGGCATGCAAGGATTTATACGACTGCGTTGTTAGTAATAATTATTATACACACAATTTCTTCCTATTAAACCATCAATGATATTTTGATGTATAGGTAAATTCTGAAAAAAGTATTAACAAAATAATTTATTATTTCCTAATGGTGTCATATTATTTTGATACCTACACAAATAATAATAAAACACCAATGTCAATATTTATACTATATAATATGATCTACGAGAATAGGTACTTAATATTATAAATTTGTTTGATTGGGATAGAATTTACAATTATTGATACAAGATAGTATTGGATGGCTCACTCATGAAATTCGTTATGGCCCACGAAAATCAAATAATTTTGTATTCATATAGATTGGGTTGCAATTGCTTACAAAAATAGAACCAAACTGGTATAGACTATAGACTAAGGAAATTTATTTATTCAAGTTGTCATAGAGTGTATACTGAGGGTAGTCTGCGGGGTATATCCTTTAGGATGTCAATTAATAATATTTTTTGGTAAAATAAATTTGATCCCTATTTTAAATTTTAATTAATAAATCTAATGTAACTTGCATATTTGTTTAAATTTACCAAACATTAACTATAATTTATAGGTATAACTGATTCGTTCATTTACATCAGCGTGCGTATGAGATGGTTTGCGGCTAGAATGTCGATTTATTCTTTGCAGTGAACTTTTTTTGTTTTTAATGACTTAAGATAGCTATAATATTATATTGCTTATAAAGAATAGAATAAAAACATTTAACTATGTTTCTACTCTATCCAAAACTAAGTCATTAACATTTTTAATAGAACTGACCTCAAATAGTTTTATTTTTTTCCATGTTAATGGTCAAAACATTTATGCAACTGTTTCAATGATAAAATGTATTGTTAAAAATAATGCGTCAAAAAATATTTGAAATGCGATTTTTTTTAATTTACTTTAATATAATAGTAGCCAATAAATATATTACTATATTAGGTTTTAATACGAACGTATAATAATAATATTTAAAATAACTTAGGTATATTTATTATTGTATAAAATAAAATAATAACTGTTAACGTTTGATGTATAAATATGTAAATAAATAAAGATGTGAATAAATATGTCAGTTATAAAATATTATAAGCTATCTTACATGTCCTTAGCTTAGAAGTGTGACAACTATATAATTATAATGGGCACCATCATAAGTTATTGATGTCTACATAATATACTTTTGCATGCTAATAAAGATAATTGAAGTATATAAATAAAACTATCTAGAGTCTACCATTATAATAAATCTGTAGCAAAATATACATGCATTACCTTTACAATTTTGAATTTTTTTCTTTGTTTTTAGATACTTACTTGAATATGAATAATTTGATATCTAAAGGGATAAACTACTTAGAGCAATACTTATTACTAGTCTTATTTTAAGACTCGCAAGGTTTAACAAAACTAAAATAATTTGCATACATAAATTAATATGTATGTTGATACATATATTTATAGTACATTGTACTTTATGTATGTTTTTAAATTATTTATTCGATCAATAAAAATAATTATAAATTATTCATACCCATAAATATTTTTATAGTATTTAAATATTCATATCTATATACCTAATAATAATTTTATTACCAATAAGTAGTAACATACATTTTAATATAACGATTATAGGATGTTAAATGTATTTTGATAGAGCTAATTCTCAGCATGTTAATAATATAATACATATTTAAATTATAAAAAAATTATGTTTTAGTAAAATGAAAAAAAGATTAAATCGTTTAACAAAACCTATAATTTTGTATCGATTTAAAAAAAAAAAAAAAAAAAAAAATAAAGAAAATAATATCTTTGTTAATTTTTGGTAAAATAAATTATACTTATCAGGCATGAAAAAAAAATTGGGCTTTTCTAGAAACTCGATATGTGTATTATAAAATGTTGCTAATAAGTAATAAGTAATAATTATTTATTAAATACTACTATAGTATTATGTTCTTGAATAAAGTATGAGATTTTAGGTTTATGATTGCTTATTTTTATAGCTTTATTTTGACCAAAATTTTTTTTTTAAATCAAGGAATAAATTGATGATAAGATTTAGTCAGTTACTTTTTTCTGCTGTTTCATTTCTCCAAATTAATTTTTCGAGTAATTTTAATATAACTTATAAGTTACAGATAACATACTAATTAATTATATTTATGTAGGTATTATGTATTTATTTTATATAAAATTGCATAGGTACACCATTATTAGGAACCTTTTATAAAGTCATTAATAAAAAAGTCCAATAATTATACAATAATAATTATAAGAATAATATAAAATAAGTTTTTTTGATGAATAGTTATTCACTACGTTAAATTAAATAACTAATATTATCCAAATAATCAATACATTTCATCTGTGGGGGATTGCTTGTCAGTTGTCACTTTCTCCTTATAGCAAACTCTTTGTTCAAGCTAAATATATTTATTGTAAATTCTTTTAACTCGTTTACTACGTTGGAAAAGTTTCGTGTCATTCTCAATTTTTAATTTTGGCATGGTCTTTTCGTAATATAACTATAAATTTAAATATACTAGAATCATTTTAACCTGCTGCTTTATTTAATGCATAATGGCAACTAAATCGTTAATTTTCCATCTATCTGTATTAATCCAGAGGTCTCAAATATATCGAATAAATCTAGACATAAAATCATCTAACCATGTTTCAACAAGATAATTTAAATATCAATGTATATAAATATATTAAAGTATAAGCGTAGTTATAGAAAATTAGAAATAACTATAACTATTATTTTATTTAGTCTTTAATATAATAGATGATTAATTATTATTTTTATAATGCTCTCAAACAAAATTCAGCCTTAAAACTTTTTTTTTCAATTTTTACGAGATAAATAGGCTGTGATTATGATGAAAAAACTTATCAGAATGTACTGTGAATACATTTTAAATTATCACACGATCTTTACAATTTTCAATGCACTTCTAAAGTTCTAAAGTTTCAAATAATTTAAATGTTGTGATGAAATGGATCGACAAAATATGATTAATTTGGCGGCATAAGGGGTAAGACTATAACATTAATATTACCTGTGTATAATATTTAACTATTATCAAATCGTTAAACCGTATAACTATACATAATATTT